AATTTACGAGGCTACATAAGAATATCTATTTAACTATGTTAATCGAACAAGGTCAAAAATACTTGACAGAAACACTTTAGACTTTATTTTTGTTAAATGCATGCTTTTGTTTAATAACTACTACGTTTTCAACGGGGTATTCGGAAAGGTTAATGTGGTTGGTCATGCACGATATCTGAAAAATGGCATTTGAAGCGAGGTCAATAATGAAGAAATTTTTACTGATCTTCAAATGTTGAATTAATAATGAGAAATATCATCCAACAACGACACGGAGAACCTCCCTTATCCTTTTCATATTCATGTTAACAAAATACAGGTTATAAAAAAATATGTTCATGCATACCGTTTGCCATAGTCCATTTCGTGTCAGTCTTTCTTTTTCTATGATGGTTGTACAATATCCTTATAACGTTTTACTAAGCAAATATCATATTTCAGTCGTACGATTACATAAGGCGTGCCAATAAAACAGTCAGCGTGTGAGAGACAAAGTAGAATCAATAACCCCACCCTATCTGGATAAGGGTACTGTGAAGGGTACTTCTATAGTATAGAAGGTAGATTTTAATCGCCTTTCGCAACAGAAAATGATGTTTTAAGCCCATCTGAAAATTTTAAGGTAAGAAAATATGGAAATGCAGCCCTCTGAATTCAAATATGTCTTGACATGATTTGGTCACGTGGTAAAACATAGTCTAAATTTAGCTTCTCCAAGCGAACGTAAGCACTTGAAACAAACTACATTATCAACAAGTGGTTGCCTAGCAAGATAAGACCACTTTCCTGATACATTTTCAGTATATCAAGGGAAGTCACCTATCTGTGTCAAATCATACCAAAAATTTAATTTGTGCAAGATATTGTTGATTTAAACAAACACGCATTATTTAATAAAATTCTGACATAAACTGTTACCTTTATTTTCATGGGCAATAACTCAAATTCATTGAGTTCACCATTCATCGAAAGAAAGCCAAATTCGACCTTGTCCAAGATCTCATCATTATAAATATTCACACCAAATTTCATTGGAATTGGATGAAAACTGTGGTGTCTATTTTGTTCACAAACAAATTTTGACGCGTTTTTCATAAATCAAGGGCAATAACTCAAAAACCGTTCATCGAACGATAGCCAAATTCGAACTTGTCCAAGATCTCAACATTATAAATATTCACACCAAATTTCATTGAAATTGGATAAAAACTGTTGTCTCTAATGTGTTCACAACCAAATTTTGACGCGTTTTTTATAAGTCAAGGGCAATAACTCAAAAATCGTTTATCGAAAGATCGTCAAATTCGAACTTGTTCAAAATCTCATGAATATAAATGATACACCAAATTCCATTCAAATCAGATGAAAACTGTAGTCTCTATCGCGATCACAGGCCAATTTTGACGCGTTTTGTAAAGGGCAATAACTCAAAAACCGTTCATCGAAAAATCGTGAAAATCGAACCTGTCCAAGATCTCATCAATATAAATGAACAAACCAAATTTCATTCGAATCAGATGAAAACTGTAGTCTCTATCGCGTTCACAAGCTAATTGTGGACAGACGGACGGACGGACGGACGGACATGGGTGACGACAATATATGTCCACATTATAATGTGGGCGTATAAAAACCGGTCCGAGTATTTTAGTTACGTTTCTTTTGTTGCTTCTTTTATTTTCTAACATTAGTTTTCGGGGAATGGAGTGTTAATCAGGCTTAGGATCAGCGGAATGGTGGCTCCAATCGGATGGGCTTAAACCGAGCTAGACTTGGACTAAATTTTGGACAACTCGGTCTTATAATTTGATTGGTCAACAATGATCAAGTTTGACGCCATTGACTGACATACTCTCACCATAGTAGCAGACGAAATTATTTCTGTCAAGTACGTATCTTGATGTTGCAGGTAATTTATTTATCTTTCTTAGTTATTTTGTTACATTTCTTCATATTTTTATGCTAGTTTAAACGGACATTCCACTTTTTTAGTAGGTCGGAAATTTTTTGGATCAAATTTGTTAAAACTATTCACCGAAATGTAGAGAAATGTGCTGTTTAACGTATCTGAAAGATTTAACTAAAACCATCTAGCCGTTTACTTTCGCCAAAAATATTTAAAAACATTACATAAGATTTTTTTAAGTTCGTCATGCTTTTTGCAAGCTGCTTGAAAACTAGTGTATGGATTTTAGTAAAATAAACGCCTTACTGTAGAGAAATATATCTTTAAGTATTCTAAAGGTTTAAACAAATAATATTGAGCAATTATAAAGCCTAACACCAAAACTAGGACAAATTAACAATTAGTACCCTCCGTTTTTAAATTTAAATTAATTCTTAATTAACTCTTTTAAAACAAGTTCAGTTTGATCAAGAAGATAGGTAGATATAAATAGCATACAGTAGAAATATTTTCAGGTATAATTTAAAACGTTTATGATATTGAAAATTTTTCACAAAAAGCAGAATGCCCCTTTAATGCGGTTTGCTATCAGGCTAGATCGTTCCGAACGGTTATATTAATCCAAGCAACAGGATAAAACTATCAAATTTGTGAGAAAAAAAACGAGACATGAATGATTTTAGGTTTCTCTGATACAGTAGTCAGGTGGACTCATGATTCTATCTTAGGGAAATTTTTTTTACAGAAGATCATAAAGTCAAAACTTTAGATGGTTATGATTATCAAGTAATAAGGGGTTGGTCGAGTTTTTAAACAAACTAATTTTCATTATGCGTGTTGATAACATTATGACATGCGTATGATGAGAATTCGTAGTCATATATTTAGGGCTGGATCAGTAGTATATGACCTTTCCTATTGGACACATTTAGGCCTAAAAACCCTCAATTTTCAAGTTTTTCATATCAAAATGACATAAAAAAAAACGCGCCCAATTTCACGTTTTTAGGCCTAAATGCATCCAATATGAAAGGTCCCAAACCTAATTTCCATCTTAATTATGCCCTCTCATATTCGAAAGCATTCAGACATCCAATATGAAAGCTATATACTATATGAAATCCACCCCACAGCAAAATTTGTTTAATCTGTTAAATTAACTCAATTAAAAATAGGATGAGTTTCATTTTAAAACACGATCGACACAAATTCGTAGATTATTCAGGCTGAGCTATCAACCTTATAGTTCCAAAAATATTCAACTTTCTTTCAAAAAACAAATTATCCCCTTCACCAGTTTCTTTGATTCCAGCATTAGTTTCTATTGCTTCAGAGCAAAATGAAATGAATGAATTAAATAAAATAAGATAATTAAGAAACAAGAGATTCGAAAACCAACAAGGAGAAGGATTCAATGAGAAACTTCCACAAACACTAAACACTAAAGATTAAAAACAACAAAGAGAAGGAATCCAAGAGATACTTCCACACGTACTCAACTTTATTTCAAAGATTAAGAATCGGAAAAACGACGAGAAAAAGGATTTAAAGTTATAGGATAATTTCTATTCAATATTTGATCTTTAAAAAAGGCAAATAAAATAACTAAACCTGTTGGACACAGATCTGTCAGCTTCCGAGCTGTTTTACGCTATATGTATTGGGCATAAAACATAAGTTCTATTTAAGGATTTAATGTAGATATTTTTGCGTTTAAAAAAAACCAAATTATTGACAGTAGAAAGATTCCCGTACCAACCGATATATTTAAAAGGTAATTCCGCGGTTTGGAATGTCTGACCCAATGCCAAAATTGTTTTAAGTATTACAGTTTTTGCTGGGTACTCTGACAACAATTACAACTGATTTTCAATGACCACGCCCACAGACAGCCCTTTTCTGATATAGATTTTAGTACCCTGTTTTGATTGACAGCTGTTGTTGTACTGTTTTAAGTTTATGGCCCCATAGTTAACACCTGCAATTATTGACTTGTTGTAAAATAATTATCTTGTCTAATTAAAATGGATTTTATTTTAATTTTTTCGATAAATTTTGATTATGAATAATGATTTATACATTGTTTTAAAACTGAGAATTTTTATTTTATATTCCTGTTTTAAGAATTTCGCAAGGTGCGTTAGAACTCAAACAAGAGTTTTAATAAATATTAAAGTGACTTATTTTCAAACCTGGATATTTCAAGAAGTAAATGTCCGAAAACTTACTTTAATATATTTATTATTTTTTAAGATCTGAAATAGCTCTCGCAAGAAACATTCCATCATATATAAATGCAGGTTTTAAAATAGTAACTTCTACAGATACAAACGATAATTCTTCTTATGAATCATCAATCTTATTCAGATGAACTGAAAATTCTGGTTTTATAATATTGATGTTTATCTTACATCTACAAGTATATATACCACCAACTTTAAAATGCACTTCACGTTCAATTGTTGATGAAAATATAATAAATTCTTTATCTTGTTGACTTTTATGAATATCAATTGAGGTAAATATTTTAGTAGGAAACTTTATTCCGGTTAAAAAACTTAGTTTTACATATTCAAAGTCTGATGTTCGTAAAAACTCATAACTCTTTTGTTATTTCTTCTTTTTGTGGATTTCTAATAATATTCATTGATAGTGGAGTTTCCGTCTCCAATATCATATCAAAATTTCTCAATACAAGAGGATAATCAATTTCTTTATCTGGTATGATTAACATTTAAAAGGCATCTATATATTTTCCACTCGTTTTAATGTCATACAAGTGATTAACCTTGTTGTTTTTGTTGTTAATTTCTAATTCTTTAGTTTCTACATATTCTCAACCATTGATAAACTGAAGAACTTAAGTTAATTGTCTGAAGAATATTGAATCAACTTTTACCTTCATAGGAAAAATAAATTCAATTAGAAGTTTTATTTGGAAACCAAACACTTCTCGAACATCTCCATTAAATATGTTTTAGGGTTTCCAACTGCTACATGAGGAGAAAATACTTTTATTTTGTAAATCCATATATGTTCAATTCATACTCTTTTGATTAATCAATATTATTATGAGTTTTAATAAATGCATCACTCAAATTTTCAAATGGAAGATTAAAATAATAATAATAATATTTTCTTCCTTGTGATTCTTTTCTAATCGGTTATATTTTTTTTCCTGTTTTAAAACTTCATTATTGATAGTAGTTATCTGTTGTTGAATAACACTATCATCAATGTTTTGTATTTGTTGTTGAATATTTGTTAGTTCTTGTAATTCACTGTTAAGTTTAGTTTCTAGAGCAGTTAATTCATGTTGAAATGTATCTTCATTTTCACCTGGAATGTTAACTATTAATTGTTGAATATTTAATTTTTATTTTGCAATCTTATCATCTAATTGAGATATCAATGAAATTAAATTATGATTTTTATCTACTACAGCAACCAATTGTTGTTAAATAAAACTTTTCAAACTTGTTACTTTTTGCTGTAGTATCATTAATAAAAAAATTATTATTTAGTTGACGTTTGAAAAATCTTTTCACATTACTTATTTTATCTTCTAAATGTTTTTTATTTACTTCAATTGAATTTATTTGATCCAGTAAATATTTCTTTTGAACGGAGATTTTAAATTAGTTACTTTGAAATTGTTCATATTTAAATCACCTTGAAGATTGTCTCCTATTTGATCAACAAAATAAGGTTTTGCTTTATTTATCCATGCTGTAGTGTTAGGTTTTTTAGTATCTAAAGGTAAAGAACCCAAACCAAACCTGTTCGTCATTTTGTTATTAAGTTAAATTTATTATAATTTCTTCAAACTGTTTTCCTAAAATCAACTGATATAAAACCCAAAGTGAAAGCTGTCCACAAAACTTTTGTCCTGGCATTTGAATTTGTAATGTGTCAATTTCACTATCTCTTCAGTTGGTTCTAATCCAAAGGAATCAAAGAAATAAAAGTTATTTAAAGGATCTTTATACAAAGCAGAATGACGAACTCCTTTTTAATCGGAAGTATATATATTTGTTATTGTTGATCGATTAATTCATATGTTGGTGGTGATGTGCTATTTACTTTATCTACGATGAATATTTCGTTTGTCCAGTATCCAGCGTAACCTTTTTCAAATTTACTTTTATATTTGAAAATACGAACTCGGTCTCCAACTGTAAACTTTTACTTAAAGTTATCTTTTATTTCATTTTCAAAATTATAAAGGGTAGAAGAAAACTTTATAATATCTGGATTTTGACAAGCTTTCAGAGGAGAAACACCGAATGAAGAATGAATTTTATTATTGTATTCCGTTACTACAGTGAGTAAAATCTTTAATACATTTTTGAGACTTTAGTTCTGTGAATTTTTTAAACAGTTTTGATTTAAGCGTTCTGTTAAATCTTTCTATTACTACAGCCTTTCATTCGTTGTGAAAACTGTATATTTCAAACCCTAGTGATTTTACGTTTCTGTTATAAAACTCCGTTCCAGCATCAACTCATAATTTCTTTGGTTTTCTATGTTTAATGGTCGTTTCAAAAGCATGTTTGACCGATAATCCTGTTATGATTTTCAAACAAATAACCCATGCATATCTTGTATACAAATCTGTAACTGTTAAACAATATTTAATCCTCTTTCGACTGGCATATTAATTAAATCAGCTGACCATATTTCATCTTTTTCAAATACTTTAATTTTTAAAAAGTTTTTCTAAATTCTTTATGAATTTCATCTGCTAATCCCATACCTTGCTTCATCTTTGCATTTAACAGTTTTATTATCAGAGCTCTTTCCATTTTCTCTTTGAACGTTGGATTTGGAATACTTTCAAGTTCGATTATCATTTGTCTGTCTGCTTCGTGTCTAAACTTTATATCTTTATTTATGTATATAAAATATCATGTTTAAATGCAGCCGAGTTAACTCTATTGGCAGGTTCTTCTGGTTTGGGTTTATCGTTTTCGTCTAATCGTAGATCTAGCTTAGTACCTGGACCACTGTAATTATGACTCGGAAGAATACTTTGCCCATGGAAAACCCGGAAGAAAACCTTATGATTTTTGTATTTCTGAACCATAATAAGTTTTGGGACTTTGTGCAATTATCGCAGACATTTTTATCCTATAACTTTAAAACCTTTTCCTTGTTTCTCTAAAGCCCGTTGTTCTAATCTCTTATTTCTTATTTCTCTTATTAGCTGTAATTCTTTCAATTCGTCAGACTTTTTCACATCGTCGCTTATACTGACTCCCGCTTTTGCGACATAACCCAGAGATTCGGCTTCGGAGGAAATAAGTGATTTGTTGTTTGAAATAAATCTGCCTAGGAATTATTTTTGAACCTAGAGAAAATATTGATGAAAAGATACCGTCGCCTGAATAATCTTCGAATTTGAGTCGTTCGTGTTTTAAAACTAAACTCATCCTATTTTTAATTGAGTTAATTTAACAGATTAAACAAATCTTGCTGTGGGGTGGAATTTATATAGTATATAGCTTTCATATTGGATATAGAGGTTGAAATATGTAGGAAAGAAATGTGTTCCTTTCTTACGTTAAAGTGATACTGCGTCTTAGAATTAACATAATATTTAAGAATTTTAAACTTGGCGAATAAGAGCCAGTAGATATACCTGGTGTCATAAATAACATAACTTATATAATCCGATAAATCCAAAATACTTAGTAATTATCCATAATATGCAATTAACTATTGAAAAACGCTTAATATCAAGATTAAGCGTTTTTCAATAATTACTTTGTTTTACTATGATAGTATTTTGGCTTTTTCTAGTCTCTTACGTTACGTTACGATGAACTAAGCTCTAAACGGGCAAATGACGTCGAAATTCAACCAGAATATCTGAGGATTATTACAAAGCGTAGCAAAACTGATGAGTATACACAAGGAAACGAAGTGTTGATTGCAAAACGAAAATCTTCTTCTTGTTCTTACACTATTTACAAACGATACATTGATTTGACAGGTGTATACCCCACTTCCTCAGAATTCATCTTTAGGCCTGTTTTTAGATCAAAAGGGGCGGCAAAACTAATTTACAAGAATAAAAAGCTTAGCTACACTGCTAGTAGACAAAATATATTGGACATAATTTAGGTTTTGCATTCTTTGAGATCCGGGGGCGCCACACTGGCCGCCAGAGTCGGAGTAATGAACGTTGTATCAAGAGGCAAGGTAGATGGAAGTCGGGTTTGAGCAAAGACAGTTATATTTTGGATTCAGTAGAAAGTAGGCTTAAAGTGCCCCAGAGCTAGTAGTGAACCTGTTCCTTCGTTCCCATGCATTTGTTTTGTTCATAGAGTTTTTTTCACACTAAGGCTCGATCCTTTCTTTGTTATATTTTTCTATGCAGCCTCAACTGATCTTACGATTGTAAGTTATCAGCAAATTAAGTCAATTATATAATTGATAGAGAATATATTGTTTATTTATTATACCTATATTTGTCCGAGTATAGCTCCGAGGGGATCTTTGCATTTGTTTTGACACAGGTTTCCAGAGGTTTTTCAATAATTATTGTTTTTGTATCTCTGTCTAGCAAGGTCGCTGTTGAAGGATACAAAACATTTGCATCAGCCAATACGGCATTTTTGTGTAATATATCAAGCTTTGTAATTATATGCCTGGTTATGAAATTATTTTTATTATTATATAGTTAATTGTATCGTTATATTTAATTATCCGTTAATTTATATTGTAATCTGTATTTATGTTTATTATTTCAATGTTGGAAATAAACTGCGCTGCTCTTACGATTGTGAGCTGTCGGCAAATTAAAGCCTTGTTTTAATTTAGTAAATTATATAATTGACAAAGAGTATACCTTCAATTTTATGTTCATTCTAAGACGTAGTATCACTTTAACTTTCAAAAAATTATAATATATCAATTCCAAGACGTTCTAAGACTGTTTTAAGGCTGATAATCTAATTATCTTAACGTATATATATTAAAAAAAAATAGACAATAGACAGTAGTATATGGGTTATTAGATTGGACGCACTTTCCCCCATCCCATTTCATTCCATGGGGAAAAAAGGAACAAATCTAATACCCCCCCCCCCCAAAAAAAAGAAAGACCTATACACCCTACATTCCATCAGTTCACACCCCCCAAAAAGACTTATTCACCCTACATTTCATGTTTCTTGTTTGGAAAAACAAACCACAATTTCTATTCAAATTTGAAACCTTAAAAATGGCAAATAAAAATTACATACTGGAACCAATCTTTAAATTATACGATCCGATTCCTTATTCATTTAATAAGAAAAAAGAGGATTATATTATCATCTCACTGAATCCCAGTTGAATGATGGTGGTAGAATTACCTTCGAAATTAATTCATTATCAAAAATTGGTTGCTTCATTCCGATGCTTATTTCAGATGCGATTTCAAAATAAAAGATGGAACTCCCAATGCAAATCGGGTTCCACAAACTACTACAACGTTAGAAAACAATTTCTTTCCATCTTTATTTAGCGAGATGGTTTTGGAAGCTGGTTCAAATCCTATAGAAACCATTCATTAGATTTAGCTTAGTGAGATTTATTGTTCCAAACACAATAGATAGAGTAGAACAAGCAGCTAATCATGGATTCGAAAAACAAGTACTTCAGTACAACAATACCGTCGATAATAATAGTTGGGGTAATTACGTAAATTGGAAGTTATATCCATTATTCGGTCTGTTGGAACACAGAAAGGTTTCCATAGGATTATCATATAAAATTCATCTACAAAGAGAAATCAATGATGATAAGATATTCTTTGGAGAGAATGCTTCCAATGCAAAATTAGAAATAAAAAATCTCCAACTTTATATTACATGTTGACTAAAGATATTCAAATAGCTTTTCTTCGTCGTAACACGGTAGGTAGCATGACTTTAACTGGAGAATCCACTACTTGGCCAATCACCAATAGTATTAACCAGCAAGATATTTTAATGATTGGTTTCAAGACTTACCAGACTCTTAGACGAATAACAATAATGTATTCAGAGTGGCATTGAATCTAAATCAAGATCATATAATCCATAAAGTTCAAGTAAGATTAAACAATGATAATTATCCTAACCAACCTTTAACAATTAATCCATCCACAAAGGATTATAATGAATTGTATAGAAACTATAAAAACATGTGTGAATTATTTGGAAATCCACATCAGTTCGAATATGTAGATTTTGCACTTAATCATCCAATCTTCTGTTTTGATCTATCAGCTCACCAAGAAGATCTTTTCAAAACAGGAGTAAATATAAGTATTCATATTGAAAAAACACAAGGAGATGTAACCGGGTATTGTTTACTACCTGAGGAAGCAAAACATTTAATTAAAATAGCAGATAGAAGAATGATAAGAATTGAGTAAAAAATAATAATGAAACCAGAAACTTTAGTCAAGAAAATAATAGAAGCTATTAAAATAATAACTTTCAACGGTAAAACAATCAGCATAACTAAAAAAACTTATTGATAAATACAAATATTGTAAAGTCAGAGACGATATAGACTTAGAAAGTATAGACGCGAATGCAAAGGAAGGTGGATTTTTACCTTTCCTAATACCTTTTGGTGATATTGCAGCGGTGGGTGCAGCAACTGGTGGAATATCTGTCGCAGTCAAAGCTGCCAACGCAAAGAAAGCAGAGGATGCTAAAAAACGATGAAGAACGCAGACATAATTTAATAATGGAAAAGGAAGCACAGAAATTACCTACTGTAAAAAAGTTCAGGAGTGGGAGATATATTAGA